TTCACAATTGCATATTTTATAGATGTTGATAGAGGCATTCAACTGCATGTATACTTTTCCTAAATTAAATTTGCTTCTTCCTCTGGACAGTTAGCTTCCACAGGTAATTAATCAAACGGGAGATCATTGCATTGTGAAAGTTCATTATCTATGAAAGTTTTATTTTCATTTACATCTGTAAATGAGTCTATATATCCTTTATTGCACCAAACAGTTATGGTAGGAAATTTAAATAATGCTGAGCATGCTACACATCCATAATACTACTGTGTCATTTTACTACCCATCCCAGTAAATATTCCATTTTCTGCATGCTATTTATTTTCCTGTAACTGGGATTGTTACCAGAGGCCACTGCTCAGTAAATTCTAGGTACCATCTGGTCTGAGAGAAAAACATATGCCAGCCTTTACAGAATAAGGTTTTACTGATAAAGGCTTTTAAGTAGCATCTGTTTCACATAAAGAGTAAATGGTGTTGATCCTTAAGCTGTCCAATCTCAACCAATTTCACCATAAAGAATATGGCTTTCATTTAAAGTTGGGTATTCTGGTTATAAGAAATTAGCAGTAAAGACTGTATTCCCAGTAATAGCTTGCCATAGTAGGTCAGCACTTGTGTTTCCACAGCCTAAGTCTCTAGTTTGCCCAGCCCCACTGTTTCTCTCTCTCCCTCCCTCCCTCCTTTCCTTCCTACCTTCTTTAATTCCTTCCTTCCTCTTTTCCTTCCTTTCTTCTTTTCTTCCCCTCTTTCTTCCTTCCTTCTTTGCTTTCTTTTTAAATTTCAAATAGTTTTATTGTCTAACTGACCTACCTAGCACAGGCAAGCTTCCTAAGAAAGAATTCCTTTTAGTGACCATGAGTTAAAATTCCTTCTCATAGAAATGAACCTCCAGAAAAGCCATCTACACTTGATTACCACATCAAATTTAGTTCCCAAGGATCCCAAATCCCTCTTAGTATGTTGGAGCTGGTTTAAGTTAGTACCTTAAGTATAGTTGCTACTAACTCTTTATGCTGTGAGTGCTGTTCAAGTATATATTTGGCTCCCAAAATACTGATCCTCCAGAAGATTGTCAGTTGAACATGACTCCTAGACGCAGTTCAGTTTAATATGCATCAGACTGCCCATACTCATTCTTGTCAAAGTTTCAAAGGCAAATCCATCAGTGATATTTGATCATCATATCAAGCAATAGTTTACTCTCTTGGACCCCACTCCAATGTCCTAAATGTTCTATTTGTTTAATATTTCTTCCACATTCACATGTGATTTATTCAAAAGAGCAAAGGGGATTCCAGCCTATTAGAAATGCAGTGGTGACACATTTTTCTTCATAGCCATACCCAGTTGAGAGTCAAAATACATCCAGTTCAGCTCAAGGGTAAGATTTTTCTCCAGGCTACAACAGAACCAATACGATAAATGTAACCAACGAAATCAGATTCAAAGGAAAATTTCTACCAGTTAATATAAAGATAGGTCATTGAGGATAATTGATGTCTTTTCAGTAAATAACCTAAACAGAGTTCTTGGCCCAATCTTGTAGCTTGACCTCAGTGCCATTCTCCTTTCCAGTGGGAGAAAATTTTAGGATCTTCTTTCTGAGCTGGCAATTACTTGGGACTACAGAATAGAGAAACAGCTAAGAGTGATTTTTCTCTTGTTCTGAGATACTCTCTTAGGAAAAAAGTGATGTGTTCATTCCCAGCATCATTACACATTTTATGCATACCCTTCTCATCTGCCACAGTCCCCCATTTGCTTTCCATTTGTTACCTATTTATTACCAGATTTTACTCCTTGGGTGTGTCTCTACTGCTTACCTCATAAGGCGAACAGCTGGAATAGCCCTGCCAGGCCTTCCCCCAGGAAGAAGAACTATAAATATAAGTAGTGATGGGACCACTCCATTTGTAGGCAATGGAGCAGCACTTACAGCCAGTCCTACTTTATACATGAGATGGAGTCACTATCAAGTCCATTGTTCCTTACCAGGATGCAAGTCAAATTCACAGGGATTGAAATAGTATCCTGAGTGGTGATGCCTCCCTATGCTGGGATATGCTATTATAGCCCAAACCTGATACACCTTGATCTGGCAAGATAAAATAAATTTTTTGTTGGAAAGATAAAGTTGTGCAAGTGCATCATCAGTCTTCTCTTTATCCCTACAACCATTTATCAGAATCCTTCCCAATGGTTTTTCAGCTTTAAATTCACCCAATTCAGCCAGCTAGTCCTTCATGTCCTCATCATCACCAGTTTTTATCAACAGATAGTTTAATTGCCCATTCCAGTTAGTTTTATGGGGAGTGGGAAAATCAAATATTTTTAATTAGCTACTTGGCTTTTACTTTTTTAACACAAATACACAGGAGAATCATGCAATGCTGTCAGCATCTAATACAATCCTGGGCCAGCACACTCCTTTCCAACTGGTCTTATGATGGCAGGACCTTTCCATCTTGCCTTCATTATTTTCTATGACCCCTGTATAATCTGCAAAATAAAGAAACATACCATTCTTTCTTTGGTATGACTTTTTTTGTTGGACTACCACTGCTGGGTATGCCTCCTTTCTGAGCTCTGGTTATTTGCCTTTATTGACTGTGATCATCACCATGTCACCCACCCCAGCAGTGGAAAGTCTGTTCAGTTGCCCTTTGATTTCCTTCACAGACATGATACAGAGATTTTTGGTTCCTGTGTTGTCAACACAATTGATCATGGCTCTTATCGGAAAACCCAGGGAATTCCAGCATTTCACACGGGAGGACCCACCACATCCTTGCTTAGACATCTTGAATGTTGAAAAAAGGCAGAATGACTCACTTCAGTTCTTGATCAAACTGTTGCTATATTGGTGATGCAGAATTTGATAAGTCCATATGATGCTGAGTCTCTTAGCTCGGTTTTGATCATAGGCAACATGATGTATATACTCTGATTTGAGGAAATATAACCTAGGAAACTGAGCTTATTCACATTCTGTTGTTCCGCATCTTAAATAGTGTCCTAGGCCAGGGATCCCCATCCCCCAAGCCACAGACCAGTATGAGTTTGTGGCCTGTTAGGGACCAGACCACACAGCAGTAGGTGAGCAGTGGGTGAGCGAGGGAAGCTTCGTCTGTATTTACAGCTGCTGCCCATTGCTCACATACTGCCTAAGCTCTGCCTCCAGTCAGATCAGCGGTGGAATTAGATTTTCACAGGAATGTGAACCCTATTGTGAACTGCGTGTATAAGGGATCTAGATTGTGCCCTCCTTATGAGAATCCAATGTCTAATAATCCATCACTGTCACACATCACCCCAAGATAGGACTGTCTAATTGCAGCAAAACAAGCTCAGGATTCCCACTGATTATACACTATGGTGAGTTGTATAAGGATTTCATTATATATTATAATGTAATAATAACAGCAATAAAGTGCAGAATAAATGTAATGTGCTTGAATCATCCCAAAACCACCTGACCCAGCGCTGGTCTGTGGAAAAATTGTCTTCCATGAAACCAATCCCTGGTGCCAAAAATGTTGGGGACCACTGTCCTAAGACATTGCTGCACCCAAAGTATAAGCAAAGTCAAAGCCCAACATTCATTTATTCTAGTCGGAACCCAGTTGAAGACACCTGGGGCTACTAGTAAGGTTTCTACGTAGTCTACCTGTGGTTCTTTGCTTTCAAAGAATCTTACCAAAAGCCATCTTTTAGAAATTCTCTATTAGCATTCTGAACACTGTGTTACTACATTAGCAGTTTCCATAAAGGAGTATGTCATGATTCCAACCAATGTTTATAGCTTGAAAGACAATATCTCTGTTTATTTCATGTCCCCAAATAGAGACATCCAAGGAATGGACCAGTATATCAGTCTTTGTATTCTAATCCCTTATGAACCAGTGACTAGGCTTTATCTGGTGGCCATTAACATGATCCATTTGAATTCTTCCACAGAATTACTACAGATTTTCATAATTTAATTCTCCTCACAATGTATTTTTAATTGACTGATCATGTGGATCTCATATGCACTAAGTGCAAGGGCATTAACCACATCATAAATCAAAGTAGCAAGCATTACCTCAGATGCGTCAAAATTGTCCTATTCTGTCAGATATACTGCCTTCAATTTTGTCCATTTTATGGACCTAACTTTGCCTTTAACTAAGGTTTACCATCAGCAGGGTAACACTCAGAACAATAGATACCCTGGCTAATAACTAGGCTGGTGCATAAAGAGGACTCTGAGATGCCTGCTGGTGAAGTTCTGTTTCTTATCTGAATGCTAGTTTCTCAGGTTTGTTAAGTTTATAAAAATGCATCAAGCCATATACATGAATCATACACCTTTTATGTTTATACTGTATTTTAATAAAAAGCTTTTTAAAAGTAATTGCTAATAATTTTAGATTTTCTAATAAGACTTGAATTAAGATGGCTTAAGATTATCAAGGATGCTAACCTGAAAGAATTATAGCAACACATAAAGGAAGTAATGAAGCGGTGAATGTGTGTGTGTGTGAGAGAGAGAGAGAGAGACAGAGACAGAAATAGAGAGACAGCTAGAGAGAGAGAGAGAAATAGTCAACAGCTTTTAAATCCCCAGATTCAATCATTTCTGAAGCCAGTTTTATGCCCTTTCTTTGGTTTGATTAGTTGATCCAATACTATAATCCTCTTTTTATTCATATAGTTCAGGGCGAATGTTGTCACTTGTAACTAAAATAGTCATAACTATAAAGTAATCAAGCTATAGTCTCTTTCTGTTTTAGTCTTATGGAATTCTTATGAATATTAAGTACCACATTTGGTAAGTATCAAATATTAAGCAAAAATGGCTTTAGGTTAAAGAATACAACATTAAGAAGGGATTCATACAGACCAAAATCACATATTTTAGAAATAAAATCAGAAGGCAAAATTAAGATGAAAGCAGTGAATTTTAGAAGATACTGACAAATCATAATTTTTCCAAAATCACACACACTCTCAAGTTAGACCCAAGTTTTATAAGAAATTTATTTTTTCACAGATACATAAATCCAAGAAAAATTATTATTATTTTTCACAATTATGACTTTAAATAATGCTATCTCTAGTTATTCACAAGTACTACAATGTTCTATGCATTTCTTCATCCTAGACATTAATAAAACACATCCCTTCAGTCTTAGTTACTTCTCTTTGGTCTGTTTTCTCCTTTCTGAATTTTAATCTTCTGTGATATGAAGAAATTTATGTGAACCTTTCACATATCAATTTTCTTCCCTGTGCACACTTGATAATTTCCTTTCTTTGATTCCCTGAGAAAAGAAACACAAAATATTCTTAGTGGATTGTCTGAGGAAAGGCAACCAGAGGGAAGAGGAATATTGGGACACTGGAGATCTCAACGAACGCAATATTAGCAGCACATGTACCTTGAGGAAAAGAAGGGATGGTGAAACCAAGATGGTAGAGTTAGAGCAACGAAGTTAGTGACATGAGAGTTTCCCAGCAATTTGAGAAAGAGAGAATTGGAGAGGATATGATATTCTGAATTCATTTCCCAAGCACTAAAATAAGATTTGAGTATACTAAACTGAAACCTCTGTCAAATCTCTAAATGGAACAGTGCAGCATGTACTATGCACAGATTGTTAAAAGAAAGTTGATGTAATACTAAATTCTGTGGCCATTCCATAAAAGGACATACCTCTACCTAGCAAAGGCCACACTGCATGAAGAGGGACTAAGATGAAGGAGAGAAACAAAAAGGCAAATCAAAGAAAGACAGGAGTGTAAGGTCCTAAGGAAGGAGCAAATAGTCAAAGGTCGCATCTGATAAGGAGCAATGCTGATCCATTCCAGTTCTAGGTCTTAAGTAAAGAAACATAGTCTGAGAAAAGAGGCCAGGGATACAACTTGGGATGTTCAGAGAGTGGAAATGACAGAAGTGGATTATTTTAAAGCTTTCATCTCAAGACAAGAGGGGAAAAAATGTAGTACAGATTCTCTTAGGATGTAGTCCAGGAAAAGAGGGAAATGTGAGGAGGGAAAAATGCATCCAGACAGTGGGTTAAAGAGCAGGACTAATCACAGGGCAACAACCCACAAAAAGACTGAGAGCTGCCAGGTAGCTGATAGATCCAGGCAGAAAGTAGCCAACTACCTGACTCCTTTCAAGCTTCCACACCATCAAACACATCTACCTGTTTCTCAAGAGGCAAATCCTCTAAGAAGTCATCTGCAGCCCATAGCATTCGTCTCAGAGCAGAAAGAATCAGAACATCCTTTACAGGGTCCAGCTCCCACTCAGAGGAATAATTGCTAACCACCGAGATGTCAGAAAGAGCAAATCCAAGTTTTCTTTGGACTTCCTCTAGCTGCAATACAGAAATTAAAAAGACATTGGAAAACAGTGAAAAATATTATTTTGTGTCAGTAAAAATTACGAAAGCAATATCAAAATGTAAGAACTTGGCAATAATTTCCCATTGGAAAAAAAATGGAGATCTGGTCTCACAAAGTACTCTTGAAGAACTTCACATATCAAGTTCTAATGTCACTGGTAATAGTAATTTGGAATACATGCAGTGGATTCTAAATGATTTAGAAGCAAAAATTTTAAGACACCTATGCTACAGTCCATAAATTTCCTGTTTCCTTTAAAAGACATTCTCTGGATAAGTAGATTTTATTAGACCAGTTTAATGTTTGATTCTTGTTTAGACTATTTTACCTCTAGAACCAAACTGCCTAGGTTCGAAATGTTTATCTGTCACTGCTCAGCACTGTCAATAAACATTGGCAAATATTTACTCTGTTTTCTTTGTTTCCTCACCTGTAAAATGCAGTAATGATAGTACCCATTTCACAGGCTTATTATAAGGACTGATTAAGAAAATCTATCACATACTTAATGCTCAGCAGATATTCACTATCATTGCATTCCCCCAACTGGTGTTCCTACTTCCAGATTCCTTTTGATTCCAATCTGTACACAGTGTCACATTAATTTTTCTGAAGATCATAACTTTGATTGACTTTGACCATATCATTACTCTTTCAAAAAATTGCTGTGATTCCTCATAATGCTCCTAATTAAATAAAATTACTTCATGCAAATGTTCCTTGCCCATTTTATCTCCCCCCACAAAGATCCAGCCCTTCACTAACCTGAACTCCACATTTCCCAAACATGTTGACTTTTCCTCCATTAATACATTGTCTTATGCTGAATTTGTTGGCCCTTTTTGTCTCTTCATTTTCTGAAATATTTATTCTCCTTGAAAGCCATTTCCCAGTGCTGTCCCATTGATGAAATCTTCCCGAACCCCTTTAACACTGTATTTTTCTTCTCTAAACTTTTAAAGCACTTTATTTTTCATTGTTTCATGATATTTACCATTGTCAATCATAGATAATTTCTTGTCAACTTTTTCTTAGCCCACACTCCCATCCCCTCACCCCCATCTATAAAATTGTAAAATGTTTAATATGGGGGAATTTTTTCATGATCTGCGTAGCTGATAAGAGACTGGCTTAATCTTAAAGATAATCAATAAACATTTATTGAATTGAATCTAGTTGAATTAAATTGTAATAAATGAACTTACCCATGTCAGTGTAAAGATAGACAGTTAGCCTTCTGTATCCATGGGTTTTGCATCTGTGAGTTCAACTAAGGCTCAAAAACAATTGAAAAAAAAAAATGGCCGGGTGCAGGCACTCATGCCTGTAATCCCAGAACTTTGGGGGTCTGAGGCAGGCAGATCACCTCAGGTCAGGAGTTTGAGAGCAGCCTGGCCAACATGGTGAAACCTCATCCCTACAAAAATACAAAAAAATTAACCAGGTGTGGTGGCACATGCCTGTAATCCCAGTTGCTAGAGAGACAGAGGCAGGAGAATCACTTGAACCCAGGAGGTGGAGGTTGCAGTGAGCCAAAATCATGCCACTGCACTACAGTCTGGGCAACAGAAACTCCATCTCAAAAAAAAAAAAAAAAAAATTTGAAAAAATATTTCATCTGTACTGAACACGTACAGGTTATTTTCTTGTCATTAATAATTAAAAATAGAGTAGAAAAACTATTTACATAGCATTTAATTTGGGTTAGGTATCATAAGTAATCTAGATATTATTTAAAGTCTATCAAAGGATATACATAGGTTATATGCAAGTACAAATACTATGCCATTAAGCATCCACAGATTTTGGTAGTAATGCAAGTTCCTGGAACCAATCCGCTGCAAATACCAAAGAACGACTGTATTCAACTTTTAAATCTTGGGAAATGGGCCCTATTTAAGTAATTTGTATAATTCTTCTTAAACCCAGTAGCTGCTTGTTTTTATTTTTATACACACTAGTATGTGATTGTAGTAACATACCCCAGAAAATGTGTTTACGAAGGGCATCATTCATTACCTTGGACCTCAGAGGCACACATCTGTCTATTTCTATAAGGTCACCTTTTGTAATCAGATCCATGCTATCCACATGAGTGAGCAAAGCCACGTGTACCACACCTATACCAAACAGAATTGTTTGTATCATTTTAGAGAGCATCAGTATTTTCAAGTTACTTAACTATCAGTTATGCAATAGGCAACCTGTGGAACAATTTCAGATTTGGAAAGATCCCCTGCACCCCGGTCACCCTCATCTCCCCAGAAAACTCCCCTGGACTACTTATTAGTATCTGGAATTTCTCTGACATGGGGAGTCACCTTCACTGCCTTCCATGGTAGCAAATGAGGACTCAAATGAAACCACCTCTTGGAAGAGGTAACTAAAATTTATGCCGCAATATTGCTGAATGATTTCATATTCTGTCCAGAAGTTGAGTTTTGACAGACACTAAAGACCAAAGGCCTCTAATAAACAAGATGGGGGAGAAGAGTCCTCTAGAAAGAGGCAGAATGTGTCAAAGTATCACAAGTAAACTTCCTTTATTTCACAATACTAGCAATCATCTCTCTGCACATCTCCTCTTTGCAAAGTTTTAAATTTCAACAAGCAGGTACGTTGATCACTCTCTGCTTCAAAACCAAAAAACAGTGATAAACTGGCTCTTTCTCATTCCAAATGGACATGACCAAGAAAAGCCAGAATGGGTCACCCTAAATCCCTGATCGTGGTTACCTTCTCCAAACTCTTTACCTCTCTCTACCAAACATCTTACCTTCCAGTTTCTTTTCCTTACGACATGTTTCTTTTTCATTTTCTAATTCTTAAAGCTCAAGGCGCAATCTTTGTCAATAAATGCATGCCAGGACATAGGGGTAGCAGGTAGTTTGGATTGTACTACCTTTTCATATATAATCATAAAACATTAATTTGTTTTAATTCTTAACAAAAAAAAAGTCTCTAAGGTAGGTACTATTATTATACTAATTTTATTGATTAGAAAATTGAGGCACAGAGAGTTTAAGGTACTTGCACAAAGTCATATAGCTAATGAAAGCTCAATTTCATTGAAGCATGCTGGTAGACTAGGGAAGATTGAAATATGCAATGACTGAAGTTCTTTATCCTGTCCAAAATACATTCTAAAACACAGTCTAGTCTATTACCCTTAGTAGCAAAGTGGAATGAGACTAACCAGCGTTTATCAACTCCCTTCGAAGTCTTCTGATCTTTACTATCATTTGAGAGGAGAAGTGTTCAATAGAGTTGACATCAAATACAAATGCCACACAATGAATTCTGTCCTCCAGCGATGGGGAATCAATGTAGTCACGATGACTTAATTTGATTGATTCCATGGGATTAAACTGTAAGGTAGACATAAAGCAACATATTAATTCAACAAATGTTTATGAGCACAAACTATGTACCAGGCACTGTGCAAAAGTGAACTGAATGGTAAACAAAACAGAAAAGTCTCCTATAGTGTGAGGCTAACAATCTTAATAGAGAATACAGGCATTATGCAAGTAAGCTAGCAGTCCTTTCACCTTTAAGGTAAGGCATCTGTGAGGAAAGGACATGTAATCTGAGAGCTAAAATAGCAGGAGTTCAAGAGGATAAGGATATGGCTGAAAGTGTTCTAGATAAGAAAGGCAATCTGCCCACAAATGGAAGTAAGAGGATTCAGAAAAAAAGCTGGTACCATCAAGCAGAGCGCAAGGAGGAAAGGGGTTCAAGTGAGATGACTTTACTCTTCATCTAGCAGTTTCTTTGTTGGGAATCTGTCCCACTGATATACTAACAAAAATACATAATGATATATGCAAAGGTTATTAACTGCAGGAACATTTGTAGCAGAAAAATGCCGTATCAATTAAACTTTGTCTGATATGTCAATAAAGCAGTTTTCTGGGGGGCGGAGCAAGATGACCCAATAGGAACAGCTCCAGTCTCCAACTCCCAGCGCCAGCCACACAGAAGACCAGTGATTTCTGCATTTTCAACTGAAATACTGGGTTCATCTCACTAGGGAGTGCCAGACAATCGGTGCTGGTCAGCTGCTGCAGCCCGACCAGCAGGAGCTGAAACAGGGTGAGGCATCCCCTCACCTGGGAAGCGCAAGGGGGAAGGGAATCCCTTTTCCTAGCCAGGGGAACTGAGACACACAACACCTGGAAAATCGGGTAACTCCCACTCCAATACTGCGCACGTGGGCACACCAGGAGATTATATCCCACACCTGGCTGGGAGGGTCCCACGCCCATGGAGCCTCCCTCATTTCTAGCACAGTAGTCTGCGATCTAACCGCAAGGCAGCAGCGAGGCTGGGGGAGGGGCGCCCGCCATTGCTGAGGCTTAAGTAGGTAAACAAAGCCCCTGGGGAGCTCCAACTGGGTGGAGCTCACATAGCTCAAGGAAACCTGCCTGTCTCTGTAGACTCCACCTCTGTCTGGGGTTAGGGCACAGATAAACAAAAGCAGTAGAAACCTCTGCAGACCCAAACGACTCTGTCTGACAGCTTTGAAGAGAGCAATGGATCTCCCAACACGGAGGTTGAGATCTGAGAAGGGACAGACTGCCTGCTCAAGTGGGTCCCTGACCCCTGAGTAGCCTAACTGGGAGACATCCCCCACTAGGGGCAGTCTGACACCCCACACCTCACAGGGTGGAGTACACCCCTGAGAGGAAGCTTCCAAAGCAAGAATCAGACAGGTACACTCGCTGTTCAGCAATATTCTAGCTTCTGCAGCCTCTGCTGCTGATACCCAGGCAAACAGGGTCTGGAGTGGACCTCAAGTAATCTCCAACAGACCTACAGTTGAGGGTCCTGACTGTTAGAAGGAAAACTATCAAACAGGAAGGACACCTACACCAAAACCCCATCAGTACGTCACCATCATCAAAGACCAGAGGCAGATAAAACCACAAAGATGGGAAAAAAGCAGGGCAGAAAAGCTGGAAATTCAAAAAATAAGAGCGAATCTCCCCCGGCAAAGGAGCGCAGCTCATCGCCAGCAACAGATCAAAGCTGGACAGAGAATGACTTTGACGAGATGAGAGAAGAAGGCTTCAGTCCATCAAACTTCTCAGAGCTAAAGGAGGAATTACGTACCCAGTGCAAAGAAACTAAAAATCTTGAAAAAAAAGTGGAAGAATTGATGGCTAGAGTAATTAATGCAGAGAAGGTCATAAACGAAATGAAAGAGATGAAAACCGTGACACGAGAAATACGTGACAAATGCACAAGCTTCAGTAACCGACTCGATCAACTGGAAGAAAGAGTATCAGCGATTGAGGATCAAATGAATGAAATGAAGCGAGAAGAGAAACCAAAAGAAAAAAGAAGAAAAAGAAATGAACAAAGCCTGCAAGAAGTATGGGATTATGTAAAAAGACCAAATCTACGTCTGACTGGGGTGCCTGAAAGTGAGGGGGAAAATGGAACCAAGTTGGAAAACACTCTTCAGGATATCATCCAGGAGAACTTCCCCAGCCTAGTAGGGCAGGCCAACATTCAAATCCAGGAAATACAGAGAACGCCACAAAGATACTCCTCGAGAAGAGCAACTCCAAGACACATAATTGCCAGATTCACCAAAGTTGAAATGAAGGAAAAAATCTTAAGGGCAGCCAGAGAGAAAGGTCGGGTTGCCCACAAAGGGAAGCCCATCAGACTAACAGCAGATCTCTCGGCAGAAACTCTACAAGCCAGAAGAGAGTGGAGGCCAATATTCAACATTCTTAAAGAAAAGAATTTTAAACCCAGAATTTTATATCCAGCCAAACTAAGTTTCATAAGTGAAGGAGAAATAAAATCCTTTACAGATAAGCAAATGCTTAGAGATTTCATCACCACTAGGCCTGCCTTACAAGAAACCCTGAAGGAAGCACTAAACATGGAAAGGAACAACCGGTACCAGTCATTGCAAAAACATGCCAAAATGTAAAGACCATCGAGGCTAGGAAGAAACTGCATCAACTAACGAGCAAAATAACCAGTTAATATCATAATGGCAGGATCAAGTTCACACATAACAATCTTAACCTTAAATGTAAATGGACTAAATGCTCCAATTAAAAGACACAGACTGGCAAACTGGATAAAGAGTCAAGACCCATCAGTCTGCTGTATTCAGGAGACCCATCTCACATGCAGAGACACACATAGGCTCAAAATAAAGGGATGGAGGAAGATTTACCAAGCAAATGGAGAACAAAAAAAGCAGGGGTTGCAATCCTAGTCTCTGATAAAACAGACTTTAAACCATCAAAGATCAAAAGAGACAAAGAAGGCCATTACATAATGGTAAAGGGATCAATTCAACAGGAAGAGCTAACTATCCTAAATATATATGCACCCAATACAGGAGCACCCAGATTCATAACGCAAGTCCTTAGAGACTTACAAAGAGACTTAGACTCCCATACAATAATCATGGGAGACTTCAACACTCCACTGTCAACATTAGACAGATCAACGAGACAGAAAGTTAACAAGGATATCCAGGAATTGAACTCATCTCTGCAGCAAGCAGACCTAATAGACATCTATAGAACTCTCCACCCCAAATCAACAGAATATACATTCTTCTCAGCACCACATCGCACTTACTCCAAAATTGACCACATAATTGGAAGTAAAGCACTCCTCAGCAAATGTACAAGAACAGAAATTATAACAAACTGTCTCTCAGACCACAGTGCAATCAAACTAGAATTCAGGACTAAGAAACTCAATCAAAACCGCTCAACTACATGGAAACTGAACAACCTGCTCCTGAATGACTACTGGGTACATAACGAAATGAAGGCAGAAATCAAGATGTTCTTTGAAACCAATGAGAACAAAGATACAACATACCAGAATCTCTGGGACACATTTAAAGCAGTGTGTAGAGAGAAATTTATAGCACTAAATGCCCATAAGAGAAAGCAGGAAAGATCTAAAATTCACACTCTAACATCACAATTAAAAGAACTAGAGAAGCAAGAGCAAACACATCAGAAAGCTAGCAGAAGGCAAGAAATAACTAAGATCAGAGCAGAACTGAAGGAGATAGAGACACAAAAAACCATCCAAAAAATCAATGAATCCAGGAGTTGGTTTTTTGAAAAGATCAACAAAATTGACAGACCACTAGCGAGACTAATAAAGAAGAAAAGAGAGAAGAATCAAATAGACGCAATAAAAAATGATAAAGGGGATATCACCACCGACCCCACAGAAATACAAACTACCATCAGAGAATACTATAAACACCTCTATGCAAATAAACTAGAAAATCTAGAAGAAATGGATAATATCCTGGACACTTACACTCTTACAAAACTAAACCAGGAAGAAGTTGAATCCCTGAATAGACCAATAGCAGGCTCTGAAATTGAGGCAATAATTAATAGCCTACCAACCAAAAAAAGTCCAGGACCAGATGGATTCACAGCTGAATTCTACCAGAGGTACAAGGAGGAGCTGGTACCATTCCTTCTGAAACTATCCCAATCAATAGAAAAAGAGGGAATCCTCCCTAACTCATTTTATGAGGCCAACATCATCCTGATACCAAAGCCTGGCAGAGACACAACAAAAAAAGAGAATTTTAGACCAATATCCCTGATGAACATCGATGCAAAAATCCTCAATATAATACTGGCAAACTGGATTCAGCAGCACATCAAAAAGCTTATCCACCATGATCAAGTGGGCTTCATCCCTGGGATGCAAGGCTGGTTCAACATTTGCAAATCAATAAACATAATCCAGCATATAAACAGAACCAAAGACAAGAACCACATCATTATCTCAATAGATGCAGAAAAGGCTTTTGACAAAATTCAACAGCCCTTCATGCTAAAAATGCTCAATAAATTCGGTATGGATGGAACGTACCTCAAAATAATAAGAGCTATTTATGACAAGCCCACAGCCAATATCATACTGAATGGGCAAAAACTGGAAAAATTCCCTTTGAAAACTGGCACAAGACAGGGATGCCCTCTCTCACCACGCCTATTCAACATAGTGTTGGAAGTTCTGGCTAGGGCAATCAGGCAAGAGAAAGAAATCAAGGGTATTCAGTTAGGAAAAGAAGAAGTCAAATTGTCCCTGTTTGCAGATGACATGATTGTATATTTAGAAAACCCCATTGTCTCAGCCCAAAATCTCCTTAAGCTGATAAGCAACTTCAGCAAAGTCTCAGGATACAAAATTAATGTGCAAAAATCACAAGCATTCTTATGCACCAGTAACAGACAAACAGAGAGCCAAATCATGAATGAACTTCCATTCACAATTGCTTCAAAGAGAATCAAATACCTAGGAATCCAACTTACAAGGGATGTAAAGGACCTCTTCAAGGAGAACTACA